GTGTGCATATATTCCTTAACTTTTTTAATTAAAATATATTAATTACAACTATAAAGTAAGACATTTATATAACAATGCAAAAATGATATCAAATAGGTTAAGAAAAAAAATATAAACGGAAAACTTATAATGATTAAAATCTGAAATTCTGATGGAACCCATTAACCAAAATCAATTGGTAGGATTTTATTTGTAAACCTCAAAACTAAACTAAAAAACATATACACAATTTTTATCAATTAAACTAATTATATAAAAAAATTTATCAATTTTTATCAATTAAACATATACTTGATCTGAAGAGGGAGCCCTAGGCAGTTGCCTTATTTTTACTAAGGTAGTCACGACACTGCATGCAAAGTGTAAAATTTGAATACCGATTTTAGATAACAAATTGTCCTTATCCAACTAATAATCCGTCTTTGAATAACTAATTTTAGATTTATTAATCATATGTACTTGCTCGGTTTCTTTTTCTCTTCCGTCCATTAGCCGAACTCAGTATTGTTATTGGGTCAGATTGGTTATCTAGTTTGGCATGGTGGTGTGGTTGAATAGTTTATTTGGTACCAATCGGGCGATCGTTTAAAACGAACGGTTAAGTTGACGGTTGGAAGAAATGATTAGAAATAGAATTTATATGGTAAAATTAGACGTTTGTAAAGACCATCACAGACTCTCGCTTTAAAAAGTATTTGCATGCAATTGATAAAACCCATAATTGTTGAGGTTAGGAGGACGATGACAAAAGGTATTTGGGGAGAGGGAGTGCATGCAGATTGGGATGAGGATAAGGACTTTGACACTGTTTCGTATATGACCGTGTTGATGAACAAACAGAGTGGTCTGGGAGACGAAGCACCATTACATTAATCAAAGATCGAAAGAGACCTTCTCTACAATATTCCTATTGTATGTCTTTATGAGCTGCAACAAAAAAAAATCACTACACTTGAAAGTAGATAACAATTGCTCTGATTTATTAACCACAAAACCATAGACAGCGAGCGCAATGTAGGAAAACCCCCTCCCAGAGACGTCTAGTGAAGCTGCTCAATATAGAAAAACCCATAGACAATGCGCACTGTAGCAAAATCCCTCACAGAGGCGGTTATATGCGAGTGAAGATCCTGCTTCCTTCATTTTTGATTATTTCCAAAATCTTCCCCACAAAACAATCTCCATTTCCCTTGTTTTTTCTCTTCTCTTATTATCTCCATATTCAGAAGAATCCTCCTCAAGGTAATTCCGGTTTCATAACCCAAATTCATCTCAATTTTTTGTTCTACTCGTTTCTGATCTAACGGCTTTTTTTTTGTAGAATTGAACATGAAATCAAGTCTCATGTACCTTTTCTGGTAAGTCCTTATACCTATGCTTTCTGTGGTAATGAATCTCATCTGAATCTCTGTTGACTGTACTCTAAACTGAAATTAAAGTTAATTCTTCATTTTTATTCCTTCCGCTTCTTTCTAAACCCTATCTACTGAAAAATGTTGGAATCATCAATTTCATTGAAGAATTTCGCGAAGTAACTCTATCGATCACCGTCGAGTTGCTTACCGCCGAGTGTAGTTCATTGGTTCGATGAAGATGATCTTGTAGATAATGATCCAGCGCCAGTGTCCCTGAGGACATGTTGCCAAAAGCTGGAAAACAAAGACCGATGAAGACAAGGCTCCATATTTTGGTGAGGCCAAGGAGATGTTTGATTATGAAGGGACGTATTTAGGTCAATATTTTCTTACATACATTATTCTATAAATATCATTTATGTTATTTTGAAAACTTTATATGATAAATAATTATTCTACAAATAAATCTAATACTTACCAATCATACTTTACTTTTAAAATAGTTACAGTCAAAATCTTATATCTAAAACAAAAATGTCTACAATCTAAATTCTACATCAAAATAATCTACATCTATAGTCTAGCCAATCACTCGATAGTAATATCATCACATGACCTTCTCATAGTTGTTCAAACATTTAATAATAGTATCTAAATGTAAGCTCTAACTATGGTACAGAGAATGTTACAAAATTAGTTCTTCTTATATTGTTAAATAATTGACAAATTTGTTAATTCTTAAACATGCCAAAATTAAAACCATATGTGTTTCAACATATAATTTAAGTGTAGTTTTTTTTAGAATGTTTAATTGGGACAATCTATAAGCTTTTAAAAAGAGAGATGTTAATTTACATATTTCATTGAACTGAAAGTTTTTTTGTTACATTCCGATCATGCAAGTTCCATAGTAGTCTAGTGGAGCAAAAGTGACTAACGTCATGAGGCTACCAATTACAATCTCAACTACCGAATTATTATAAGTAACTGTTTAAGTATCAATTAGAAACTATATTTTCTAAATATATGATTTTTGCCCATTCGGCCAATGGATGATTAGACGACCACGATTTCATTTGTTTTGTAGTTTATTCAAGAATCTTTCAAGAATTGTAACAAATTTGGCCAATATTCAATCCCCCACTTTTGCAAATCACCCTCACCAATTGTAACAAATAATTGAAGAATCAAAAGTGAGATTTTATTTTTATATAGTTGGAAAAACTTAATGCTAGTCCATTACTCTCTTGAATTATTAAAATATTGCATAGTACTTGGTGGTATCCATGTGAGTTTGTAGCTTGGGTAGCACAAACTTCCCCACTCCCACAAGCCACGTTTGCCTCTTTAAG